CCATCTCCCCAGCTCAGCAGCTACATTTTTAAAACCCAGTTTCCTTCCCCTCTGCTGTAGAAAAACAAAGGCACCCTGAACCTTCAGGAAATCAAATTTCCAAACTTCAAGTTGGTGTACACTTTGACAGTCCCTGAGGCCTCAGTGAAAGACAGTGGAGACTACGAATGTGTTGCTCGTCATGCCACCGAGGATGTCAAAGAAATGAAGAAAGTCACCATTTCTGTGCACGGTACATCCTGCCCTTTGGAGTGTCAGTCTGCCAAGCTGCTGGGTGTCTGGAGGTGATAATCACTGTGTAACTCTTCCCCTTGCAGAGAAAGGGTTCGTGGAGATCAAGCCCACCTTTGGCCACATGGAATCTGTCAACCTTCATGAGGTCAGACATTTCGTGGTGGACATACAGGCCTACCCACCTCCCCGGATCTCCTGGCTGAAGGACAACTTGACACTGATTGAAAATCTCACTGAGATTACCACTGACGTGGAAAAGATTCGGGAAATAAGGTAGCAAACGTGCTTTCCAAGTATGTTTTCCTGCTTCCTTTTATCTATCTATCTATCTATCTATCTATCTATCTATCTATCTATCTATCTATTCATTCATTCAGTCTTTCTCTATGTAGCCCAGGCCAGACGTGAGCTTGCTGTGTAGCCCAGGCTGGCCTCAAACTAGCCATCCTCCTGCTTTAGCCTCCCAAGTGCTGAGGTTACAGGTGTGTGTCACTGGGTCTGGCTCACGTATGCCTTCTGAATGTAGGTATCCCTAAAACAATGGAGTGCCTGTCATTCAACCCAAGCTCAAGCCCAACTAGCAGATGATCTGAGTTGTGAGGTACTGGAAAATCTAGTATCTCAAATTGTAACCTTGCAGTGGGTTCATGGGGTGCTGTTAAATACTCAATGATAAGGAAGAAAAAATAATCCCTGTCCCCCCATGAAAGCCGGGTTTCTGGATCTACCCAAGGGTGGAGGAAAGATGAAATTGGACTCACTTGGACTCAATATTTGAAAGTAGATATTTCTGGTGGTTCCACTGGTGAGACAATGTTGTATCAACTCATGAATCAAGCGTCACTGGTTAGATTTGGACCACATTTGTCCCAGTCAGTGATTCTATAGGAAACAGAAGTAGAGCCTGGCTGTATTTGGTCAGGGGTGAGATTGATGGGGAGTCATTTGGATCCCCATCCTGTATTTTTTTTCTTAAATTTTTATAATTTTTTTTTTTGTGGAACCGGGGATTGAACTCAGACCCTTGTGTTTGCCAGGGAAGTGCATATTCCACTGAGCCATCTCCCCGGCCCCTAGGGTTTTTTATAATTTTTTTTTTTCTTAAATTTTGAGAAAGGATCTCTGTAAATCTTCAAGTTGCCCAGGTTGGGCTGGAATGTGCAGTCTTCCTGCCTCAGCCCTGCAGAGTGCTGGGATTGCAGGCACACACCTGACTTGGGTCTCTGCTCCTTCAGGAGAGTGGAAGATGGCTATCTTGTGTGTCTTGGTGTGGAGCTTTGGATGAACCCCTCAGCCTCAAGGTCCTGGCCTGTACTAGAGGATTAGTATTGCATCATTATTAACCTCTGCAGACCTCTGCAGAGTGCTGAGGGCCCAGGATGAGAGGAGTGGGCTCCTGGCCCCAGGCTTCTGCTGACATGGGCAGCTTGTCAACCAGGAACTTTTTTCCAAGCAAGGGATTGAGTGAGAAGGTATCTTGAGGTGTCTTGCAGTGTGTGTGTGTGTGTGTGTGTGTGTGTGTGTGTGTGTGTTGCTGAGGATCAAACCGAGGGCCTCTTGCAGGGAGGCCCAACCTCATCCTCTGTTGTAGTTTCAAGCTGGATTCGGACCCAGGAGGCAGAGGCCCAGTTAATGCATTCAGATGCCCTTGGGTGCAGTCATTCTGGGAGGACACAGCTCAGTTCTGTATTTTATTTTAACACAGAAGAGATGATTTGTTGTACACACTTTACACTCAGCCAAAAGCGAGAACAGAAGTAGTCCAGAATGCCACAGGTCCGGGGCAAATAAAAAACAGGAGACTGCTTAGTTGGAACTAGGTGGATCTCCCTCTGAGGTGGTGTTGGCGATCAGATGGCAATGAAGTTCTAATCCATTGAGACATTCTAGACAGCATGCAGTCCAAAACTTGCACCAGTGTTGTCAGCCTCCAGTATTCTTTATTTCTGCTCTGTTGGCCTCCAGGGGTGTACGAGCTATTGTACTTGGACCTCTGTCTCATCTTTCTTCTTTTATGCTTCAGTCTACACATTTGCTTCTTCCTCCACTTGGCTCTCATGGCGCAGAGGTTCCTGAGAAGATGGCGTTAAAAGTTGAGAGTCAGTTCCATATTTTAAGCTGCAGTCAGGAAGAGAGCAGAAGCTTCATCCTTTCACTGAGCTCCAAGTTTTTCATTCTTTTTTCTGAATTACATTGCATGTGCAGCTGGAAAGCAGCATCTGGGAAAATGAATTAGACCAACTTTTTTTTTTTCTTTTTTGTGGTGCTGGGCATTCATCCGTGTGCAGATTGAGTGTGCACTGCTGCGTCACTGTGGGACCTTAAGACCTCTGCAGAGCGCTGACGGGACCAGGATGAGGGGACTCGGCTCCCAGCCCTGGGACTTCTGCTGACATGGGCAGCTTGTCAGCCAGGAACATTTTTCCAGCACTGTGAAGCCAAAGTGGAGCAGGGTGATCCTGGCCCAGCTGACACCCTAGATGAGACTGAGCGTGTTTTCCAGGCCATAGTCCATGGCAGTGATGTGTCTTACTTGCTGCTGGTGGCTCTGGAAAGGTGCCTGTTATCGTGATCCAAGGATCCCGTAGCATATGTACATTTCTGTTAGCTCTTAATAGTCATGGGCCATGAGGAAGGATGAGTGTGGTGAACGCGTGTCCGGTTTCATGGAGCTTGACGTCAGGGACCCACTGCTGTTTTGGTTGAACAAGTATGGACAGTGAGTGGCAGAGGCTCTTGGGGCATCAGCAGTTGCTGTTTCTAAGGGGCTGTAAGGGACCCACTGCTGAAGCGAAGCCATGGATGTGACAGGAAAGACCCACCCAGTCTGCTTGTCCTTCCACAGGCCGAGCCCCTGCAGCATTTGCCGAGTGCTTTGGAGCCTGTATTGTGCTTTCCCACCTATAATCTCATTCCACAGACTCCAAGCCTAACTGTGCTGAGTGTGGTTACAACTTCTTATAGAGGGAAGTCAAGGACCTGGAGAATTTCAGTCATGTCCAAGTTCTTTGAACTTTGGCGCTTGCTTATCTTTACCATTCTCGCTGCCTTTGTGTATTGTGATCTTGGTGGTGTCTAGATAAACCTTGCGGTGTAGCCTGGGGTGGCCTGCCTCAGCCTCCTGCATGCTAGGATAACAGGCTATATACTACTATGCCTGGTTAACTGTGATGCCTTATAGAAGAGTCAAATGGGAAAATACTATATACTTGCGCAATGCCAAGTAGCATGCACAGTATACACACATCTTTTGGGGGAAGCTTTCTTTTGGAAAAGTGTGAAGAGGTTATTTGTTCTAACTTTCTTTTTGAGTGGATAATAGAACCCCATGCTTCCAGAGCAAGTGTGCAGAGGTGGTGTTGCAATAAGCCACATGCTCCTGCTCTCTGCATCTGTGCAGGTAGCCCCCACTTCATGAGTTAGTTTTGTTAGGTTCGTATGAAACCTTCCAGAGTTCCTCGAAGCAAATGTTGATGAGCACGAGCGCTGCATCCTGGGCTGCTGCCCATATCAGCGGGTGGACAGCATGTTTGTCCTGTTCTCAAAGTGTTCCACGGTTTGGCTAAATCATCCAAATGATATTTGGTGTGTGTGTGTGTGTGTGTGTGTGTGTGTGTGTGTGTGTGTTTAGAGGGTAAAAATCAAGAATTTGGTTTCATTTTTGTGGGTTGTTTGGAGATAGGGCCTCACTGTGCAGTCCAGGCTGGGCTTGAACCCACAATGTAGCCCAGGTTGGCATTTAAATCCCAGCAGTCATCCTGTCTCAGCCTCCTGACTGCTGGAACTGCAGGTGTGCACCACCACACCCCGCTTTGAGCATTGTGTCTCTGATTTAGGCATTTAACATGTGGAAACTGTCGAGAATGCTAGAAAAGAGATGACACAGATTTGAAAATGGTAATTGCTTAAACAACTCTTAATGTGAACAAACTACTGCTGGTTGAAACAAAGCCTATTTCTTTTAAGGTATCGAAGCAAATTGAAGCTGATCCGTGCGAAGGAAGAAGACAGTGGCCATTACACTATTGTAGTTCAAAATGAAGATGATGTGAAGAGCTACACATTTGAGCTGCTAACTCAAGGTAAGGCAAAGCAAGAGAGACAGAGCAGGCTCTGAGAGAGGCTGTCTCCTGAGAAGTGTGGTGCTGATCTCAGAGGGCAGGCTGGGGAAGGAAGCAGGGACCAGAGATGTCACATGTATGGGTAGCTTTGTCACACTTAGGACACTTACTGCTCCCTTCTTCTGGGAAATTTTGCATCATTCCCCTGGTAGGCTCTGCATGGTGGTCTCTGTCAAAGCTGATGGGGATGTGGGTTCAGCCTCTGCTCATCAAGTGCCTCCCTGTGCCAGGTGCATTCCTAGGTGGTCTCTTTGGATGCCCACAGTAGATTTGTGATGTAGGCATTAACCATATTGACCACAGACTTTAAAAGTTCTTTAAAATGTAATAAACTCCCACACATGCACTTGGGTAAATGCTTCTTTAAGTTATGTTTCTACTGAATCCATTAATGGAACTTAGAGCCCTAAGATAGCTTGAAGAAATGCCTTTGCTTTCGAGCCAAATGACCACAGACACTTTGCACATTCTCGTACTAGATGCAGGGCATCACAAGCACAAATTCCCCCACACTGCCACTGCATGTGCTCTGAACAGTGGCCATGTCCAAGGTGGAGGGTGATTTGGGCAGCTGGGTTCTGCACCCTTTTATGTGGCTCTAGGGACATGTGGATGGCTTCCAAGCTCATGAGCCAAATTTGGAAGCCCCCATGGTTCTGGGACATGAATGTTTTCAGTGCTGGCTTCTCCCACCTCCCACCTCCTGCAGTTCCCTCATCCATTCTGGACCTGGTTGATGACCACCATGGCTCTGGGAGGGTACAGACTGTGAGGTGCACGGCGGAAGGCCTCCCCCTGCCTGACATCGAGTGGATGATCTGCAGGGACATTAAGCGGTATGGAGACCTGTATTCCTTATTGCTTTGTGCTCAGTGTTTTTGCTTCCACAGGAAGGACCTCAGGTACATTTTCTTGCTCTGGCTGGTTCTGTTTTGCATTTGTGGTTCTTCTTTGTCCTTGGACTATCAGCAGAATGCTTCTGTTAGATCCTCAGAGTGTCTCTAATATGAAAAACAATGCCTCTTGAGAAGCACAGTCCTAGGAAGATTTGTACTACCCGGGCTCATATTTTTGCTTTACAGTTCTTCCTCAGTGAGCTTTCCTGGCTACACCAGTGTGTAAACACAAATGAAATAGCAGCCAGGTGACGGCTTTCTCCTTTCCTGCCCTCATGACTGTTTGGTGGGTGTTTACTACCCCTTCCCCTCCCCCCACTCCTCAGCCTTCCTTGGTGGGGAGTACTGCGGACTGAACCCAGGTCCTTTGTACTGAGCCACATCCTCACCCCTTTTTTATTTTGAGACATGGCCTGATAAGTTGTGCAGGCTGGGCTTCAACCTGGGACCACAGGTGTGTACCGCTGTGCCTGGCCTCCTCCCTCTTAGTGGATATGTGAACTACTTTCTCACCCTTTTACCTGTGGCCAGGGGCTGTGTTCACATGCCTCACTCTCCCCCAAGGTGAGACTCCCAGCTCCCACTTCTGGAGGCTAGGGGGGACTTGCATGCTGGCTGTACCACAAATGCAGGTCTTAATGCTCAGTTCTGAGGGTTACCCAGCCTTAGTGATGCCGTCAGGCTCTTCCAGTGTGTGTGGTGTGAATGGGCAGTGAAGCCTGTTTGAAAGGATTGTTAAATACACTTGATTTTTTTTTTTTTTTTTCCTGGAACTGGGGATTGAACTCCAGGCAAGCGCTTATTCTACTGAGTTATCTACCTGGCCCCTTTTGTGTCTTTTTTTTTTTTTTTTTACGCTTGATGTTAAACCTATTAATTTGCTCATGGGCTCAAGCTTTGTGATCTGTAGAATACTGTATTGAATGTGTTAAGTCTGCCTCCTGCCCAGTCAACTTTCAGTTATCCTTGGACACATCATTTCCACCCGAGTGTGAATGCGTTCTGCTGCTAACACACACAGCCTGCTGTGCCCACCCCGGGCAGAGGCAAGATCAGAGGTGCAAAGACTCTGCTCTGGTCACTGTGTGACTCTCCATTAGAACCACCTTTGGGTCCTTTTTCTCTCTAGATGTAATAATGAAACTTCATGGACAGTTTTGACCAACAATGTCTCAAATATCATCATGGAGACGCATCCCCAGGGCAAAAGCATCGTGGAGGGCCGAGTGACATTCGCCAAAGTGGAGGAGACCCTTGCAGTTCGGTGCGTGGCCAGGAATCTGCTTGGGTCTGGCAACCGGGAGCTGAAGCTGGTTGTTCCCAGTAAGTCACTCATTACTCAGGGCTGCAGCCCCATCTGCCTTGGATGGGGTAGAGCCCAAAGGGGTGGTGTAGGAACGAAGGCAGACATTCACCTATGAAAGTGCTAAAAGACCTTTCCTGGGGGCCAGGGACATGGCTCAGTGGAATAAGCGCTTCCCTAGCAAGCGCAAGGGTCTGAGTTCAATCCCCGGTTCCACGAAAAAAAAAAAAAAAAAAAAAAAAAAAAGACCTTTCATGGGTATCAGGGCCTTTATTTTATTTATTTATTTTGTTTTAGGGAGGGGTCTATGGGTGTTCAGGATCTCACTACTAGATCAGACTTGTAGTGATTCTCCTATTTACAGCCTCCCAAGATCTGGGATTACAGTCTCAATTGCTATCTCAGTGCACCCCAGGGGTGAGGTCGGCATGGCAGGTCCAGGGATCGAACCTGCGACCCCTGTGCCTGCTTGCATTCGCTTTAATCTGCTGAGCTATCTGGTCAGCCCAGGTGCTGCTTGCCTGCCTGCCTGCCTGCCTGCCTGCCTGCCTGCCTGCCTTCCTTCCTTCCTTCCTTCCTTCCTTCCTTCCTTCCTTCCTTCCTTCCTT